AGGTACTTGACCATTACCGATAGTCAGCAATTGCTCCGAGAAATCTTCAGCAGATGTATCATTAAGCAATGTAACTCTCATGTTTGTTGTCAGCTGCAGTTTCTTCACATAGCGCCATAGATTTGACGATTTGAGGCAAGCGTTTATTTCGTCGGCAGCCGTAGATCTTGGAATTACTGGCAGTATTTGGCGGAAATCGCCAGACAGTAAAATCATTGCTCCTCCAAAACATCTCGAGTCATTGCGTAAATCTTTTAATGTTCGGTTAAGTGCTTCTAATGCACGTTTATGCGCCATTGTGCATTCGTCCCAGATGATGATTTTCGATGCCGCTAAAACTTTGGCCATTGCTGAGTGTTTTGCAATATTACACGTTGGTTCTTCAATAGTTTGAAGATTTAACGGTAATTTTAATGCTGAATGAGCCGTACGGCATCCTTCTAACAATGTGGCTGCTATTCCAGAAGAAGCAACTGCAACCGCTATGTTGGATCTCGCCCGAACAGTTGCTAAAACTAATGACATTAGGAATGTCTTGCCAGTTCCACCAGGGGCATCTAGGAAATATAAACCACCATTTTCATCATCGATTGCCTTCATTAAAGTATCATAAACTTCCTTTTGTTGGTAATTCAACAGGGGTCGTTTGAACTACTAAATCTAATTCCTGGTGATCATATTCACGTTCCCGTTCCAATTCTCGATTAAATGCGTCATTCATTTCACGATATGGCGCTGGCATTCCTAACCTGATTAATAAATTACCGCACATGAGGTAACATATATCTTCGATCAAGAGTAAAGCACGATTATGTATCTCCTCATTCATCTCAATATCGTGATTTCTGGAACTGACACGAATTTGATGTAAAATATCTTCTGACATATTATCCTTGTATTTTTGCCACAAGTTACATGGGTTTGATGGAAAACATGTCGAGATTATGATAGCGAATAATGTGCGTATCTGACTTGGAGATGCAGAGATAATGGCTTCAGCGATTGTCGTATCCCAATGGGTATCGTTTTCTAATAAGTTCAATTCTTCACATGCAGCACGATATGTTGGGAATATTACACCATTAACAGTTCGTAGTGTCTCAAATGACGTTGGCCCACGCACATTTACCAGCACAACCGCAAATAGAAACATTCATCATTCTTTGGATGAACTGTATACATACGACCAAGAGCATCAGTAGAACACACATCTGGATACCCAGGAACCGCATCGCCTTGCTTCCGTCTTTGAAAATTCTTCGATGAAGCATTCCAAGTATAATAACGTGGCATCTCCGAGTAAAGCAAAGTTCGTGCAAACTGATCGCTTTGGCAGATTGCAAAAAAACTGGTCAATGTAGTTGCTGGAGGTGTTTCAGCACGTTGCGTAGCATTCGAAGCCGTGAAATATACTCGTTGACCATTCTCCAGATGCACCGCCAAATGCATAACAGTAGGATGACGTTCGTGAATGGGAAATGCGAATATACGCCAAATCGCTTCATTACAGTTCACATAACGACCAACTTGATAGCGTGAAATTTCATCGTTGGTATTCGAGGATTGCAATCCAAAAACTGCCATATCACTGGCTTTCGTGACATATTTGCAAATATATTTTATGGACTTAACTGAATTGCAGTATTCAACGTTGCAATGTGTCTTGAACGTTTTAGAAATAAGTGGCGAATATGGAACAATCCAACTGTTGTCGACAACGAAATCCATTCTTTTCACTTTCGTTGTGACAGTTCGACCGTTGTCATCTGGTGATCGACGCCGATACAGCGGATAACCATCGTTGCCAGTGACAGTCTCCGCCGTTAATTTCCGTGGATATCGTTTAGAGCACTTTCCATCGACCATGCAAGGTGATTGGGGATTGATGGCACCACACGGTCCATGAATCATATTAGTAGAAACAACATCATGTAGGTCTGGATCGACTTCATGATCAGGAATCTCGGCACATATGATATCATCTATTTGGTCATGCTGAATTCTTTCACTAACCAAATAAGAATGTGAGCGTGCGGCAGGCCTCGCTTTTGCCATTCGATTGAATACATCCAGCATCGAGTGTCTCCAAAGACGCGTTGTTTAACAATAAAGTTCATCAGGGACCGAATTTTTTTGCCTGAATATACGTGCTGTGATGTCGTGTCTATCACTTGATGTTTGTCCGGGAAGCAGCAATTGAGTAATTTCTATCCATTCTGGATTACAGGTGAAAGTAATAAAGAGATCTGGCCGACCGTAATGACGAACATATGTCATTGCATCTTGTGCATATTCATGCATACGAGGGTGGATTGAAAAGTACTCGGCCTAACCAAGAAAATAAACACATACTAAATCAGTTATATTTTTATTTTTCTACATAATCACCATCAAGTTCAATACACTTTTGCCACCTCCCCTTCCAAGCATTTAGACCGTTGAAAAAAAATGATTCTTCCTTAGAGTCAAAATATGCGTCTACAGCTGCTTTGACCTCGTCGTTTGTCGAAAATCTTTGACCTCCCAAGTGCTTTTTTAGGTTAGGGAACAGAAAGAAGTCTGATGGTGCCAGATCAGGTGAATACGGCGGATGCGGTAACAGTTCAAAGCCACAGTTGTGAATTTCAGCCATTGACTGTACTGACGTGTGAACACGGGCGTTATCTTGATGAAACAGGACTTTTCTTCTGAGCATTCCTCGACGTTTTTCTTTTATTTCCTCTCGTAAACGACGTAGTAAGGTGCAGTAGTAATCAGAGTTTATAGTCTGACCTCTTTCAAGATAATCAATCATAATCACACCTTTCGAGTCCCAGAATACAACGTGAAGCCACAACTTATTTGCCGACAAAATCGACTTAGCCTTTTTAGGGGGTGGTGAACCAGGTCTTCTCCACTGTTTTGATTGTTGTTTTGTTTCCGGTGTACAGTAATGAACCCATGTTTCGTCCATAGTAACAAAACGATTCAAAAATCATCTGCATCGGCTTCAAATAACTCCAAACAGTCGCGTGAAATAGTCAACCGCGTCCTTTTTTGTTCAACTGAAAGCAGTCGCGGAACCCACCTCGCAGACACCTTGTGGAAACCCAACTCGTTGACAATGATGTTTTGAGTTCATTCATAAGAGATGCCTATAATCTCGGCTATCTCTCTAATTTTTAATCTGCGGTCTCCCATTATTAAATCAAGTACTTTTTTAATATTTTCGTCAGTAGTTGACGTTGAAGGCCTTCCAGAGCGGGGTTCATCTTTCACACTCTCTCTACCACGCTTAAATTCTGCTATCCATTTTTTGACGGATGAATATGACAGAGCACAATCGCCTAATGTACTGACCATGTCAACATGGATGGCTTTTGATGATAGCCCCTTCTTATGGAGGTACTTAATGACGGCACGCTGCTCGATTTGCTCCATTCGCGGAAATTATGTCCGATTACTTTGTTAATAAATTTATAAAATCACAACTAATTATCGCACACGTTTCGAACTTCACACAATGAACTAGTCTGAACTGAACTAAATAATGTGGGTAGATTTGATTTTTAGAATTGAATGGATCTGTGTTAGGCCGAGTACTTTTCAATCCACCTAGGTATGACGTGGACTACCAATGTACGTCGCCGGCAGAATAGTTAATCGACCAATATTAGCTGCATTTTCTTCAGTACTAACTGCATCACGTAAATGGATGTACTCCTCAGAACGCAGTTTGGCTTGGTTCAACCTAATGAATGTTAAACGTTCCGTTTCTATTTTTACATACATGTCAACGCAATACTGCTGAAACAATCGACGAAACCGCAGCAAATAGTTGTCAGCATTTTGACGAATCATCAAACGATATGCGTAATAATTCATTGAGCTAACTTTCTTTGTAGTTTCTTCACCTGAAATTAAAAATTTGATAATTAACCATTTCAAAGGCAAATTTCAAAGGCAAACAATACAGACATTAACCATTTTTTTAATAAGCATTATTTTAAATCAGCGTCTTTCACAAATAAATGAAATTAATTATGATACTGATACTCACCATTCAATGGATTTATCATTTTAATATTAAAATAATATCCATCTTCTCCTTGCCAAAACATCAGCGGATATTGCAATGCGTCATATGATCGATGAGTTTCAGATATTTGTTGCAGTTGCCCAGTATCGCGACGTGTAAGCACAATATCGCGTTTTTCCAATTGTTCACCAACAATCAGGATGGCGACTTCGTCTAATGTTGGAGAGCATTAAATGTGCGTTCATGTGTTCCAGATGGTCGTTTATCTGCTTTGATGACAACTTTATAGTCATCACTTGGCATGTGCTCTTAAAAAAGCATTCTTAAACAACCTGACCAACGAATTGCTCGCTTCATTCCTGCATTGATCCCTAGGCGTCGATCAAGTTGTTCTTCCATGTTGCCCATGAAATATATTTGTAAAAATTTATTCTGTGTATCTTCGAAAGGTAGTAATGATCCAATTCGATGGTGAATCTGTCTATACGAACTGGGAACTGGGTTATAAACACTTTTTTCGGTGGGAGAGTAGAGTTCAGAATTAGCAAATATTTTTGGGTGGGAGAGTAGAGTTCAGAATTAGCAAATATAATACATACCAATAGATAAAGTAAGTTATTCTTTAACTACATTCTATGTAAGTACAAAAATAAATACCTTAAATGTCGGATTAAATCCTCGTTCTTCGATAATATCTGCCCCAAATGACGTCATTTGGAAACAACCATTGTATTTTTGAGTGTTTGCAAGAAAGTGGCGTGATTCTTGTGTTTCGCCACAAAGCAATGAATACAATGGCTCATGTGGCGGAGTCAACAACGGTAATTTCACTTTACCATTAAGGCAGCATAATCCAGCCGTTTCTCCGGAAAACTTTAATGCACCACAATACTCACAAACAACGTCCATTTGCCCAATACAAACGCTAGGATGCAAGCTGTAATCATTGCTGCAATCGTATCGAAACGCTGCACGATTCAAATCAGCACTTGATAAATATCTTGTTCTCCTCTCTCATCTGTTGACCTCTGTTGTTCGCTCGACGATTCCGCATTGCCAACCGAGCTGTTACACGGGCTGCTTCACTTTGCCCTCGTGATTGAGAAGCACGAAGTCGAGCCATATTATCGCGGCGCTGTTCACGTGCAATTTCTTGTTCTTCTTCAGTGCTTTCATTTGCAGTATTTCGTATTCTTCTTGCATTACGGCTTTGTCGGGAAAGATTCGATCGTCTTGCTCGCGGCATTATTAATTAAAATTCACTTCACTTCAATTCACCTAAAAATTTATTTCAAAACTCAAATTTTCAACCATACCGAGTTTTATAGTTCACTTCACTGTTTATACGAATGGGCAATGGCACTATCATTACATTATAATTGTTAATTATTTATTTAATAGAAATAGTTTGAATATTGATTTCTTACAAATATCAAATTGTCATCTATACGTCATTACATAGCTGTCATTATACGTCAATTACATAGCTATCATTTGCGTTTTGTTATTCCAAGTCTGATTCTTTTTTGTTATACCACGTTTTATAGTGACTGACGTTTCATGTCAAGTCACACGGGAACGCTGTCGAACGGGATAAAAAGTATCTTATACCATCCGTACCAATTTTCACCCAAATCTGTTTTGCCGTTCTTGAGTTATAAGTGGTGTAACTAACACGACTTTCTTTTATATATATAGATAATTTTGATATAGTTGATTAATGCAAATTCTCCTTACAATGGGAGAGGTTCACGTCAAGGAATGGAATTTTAAAGACTGATGGTGAAAAAGTTTCAAAATTACATTAAAATAAAATTTTAGCGTCTCCAATACGTATATTAAATTATTATGTTCTTTTAATAATATAAGAACACTTTCCGTTCAAGTACCGCCTTCCATTTCGTAGCATCCTTACTCTATTTCATGTGGGAAACGGTACTTGACATGAAAATATACTCCTCTACAAGATTTATTGGAGTATCTTGGTATAGTAATATAGTGATAACAAATTTCCGCAAAATAAATTCAGTTCGATGAGTTTGTGTAAAACACAGTTTCTTTGACTATCTTTCTTACATTATTTGATAACACATATTTATATCAAAAAAGTTCTAAATAGTAGATATTAAAAATTAGGAAAACAAATCAATAATGACTTCGACATAAACAATCAAGGGTTACTTTGCGGAAACCCATAATATTATCGGTATGAAAAAAGTTTTTTTTTTTTATAAATATTAAGTGATAAACGAACTTACAGTCCACCTACTGGTTAACTTCAAACGAAGAATGCTACATATGTGTTGTCCTCCTCTAGGGACTCCGATGAAATGCCTCATATACTATGCTGCTCTCTGTACCCTTCAGACTGGAACACCATAGGACAAAATATATGTTTTTATATTTAACATGTGCGGATCTTAGCTAATTAATTTTCATATCTCTTATAAGATGTAATTCAGTACTTTGAAACCATGTAGGTATAATTAATATTAAATAATACAAATATTTCCTTTATTACAACAACTACCTTTACAGGATATTTTTTGCCTTGGGTGTCAAAATATTCGACGGAGAGAAATGCCAAGAAGTTCATGTGGAACTGAATAGTAAGTTTTAGCATGACTTTCTTAATTTGTACATATGTAATTTTTTATGTAAATATTTGTTTTTATAGATAATCTTTATTAATTAAGTTAGAACTTTGTTTAAACATTATTTACTTTAACTAGTTATAATACAATATTTTAATAGTAGTGCGATAAAAATATATTATATAAATTTCTGGATATTTTGTGTTTCTGAAATCCCGCAGTTGGGTAGTACGGTTACGGTTCGGTAGAAATTATTCGATGTTCTAATGTGATTTTTAAATTTGTATTTTTAATGTTCATATTATGATGCTGATGGTGATGACGATGTAATTTTTCGACTTATTTCAACAATAATTTCGAAAATATTGTCATCGGTAGTTGTTACCTGCTTAGAATATAACAAACACTGTAGTGCCGCAAGCGTATGTAGCAAACGGAACACTGATTCAAGCTTTTTCTTCACCATCCTGAAACTTTTACAGCTGGGCTTGGGCTTCGCTCATTTTAGAATATGGCAATTGTTAAAATTCAGACGAAAACTAATAATTCGTAAGGCTTTTGTTGAAATTGGTTTTGGTTATGTATAAATTCCAGAAAATCAAAAATGGTTTTTTTAATAAGTTGTAAGTGATACACAAACTAACAGGATCGTAAGTGGCAACTGCAGTCTATGTACATCTGCAGCCAACTTCAAACAAAGTAAACTAGATACGTGTTGTTACCTCTAAGGTCTAAGATAAAACGTCTCACATCCTATCATTATACTAGCTCTATTTACAATTCAGACCGAAACACTGCAGTGCAAGCACTTGGCAGTTAAAATAGGAATATGTATGAAGGTGGGTGGAATCTATCCAAGTGGACCCCTAGGCTAAAAAGTACTCCTATCATCAGTAACAGCTTAAATTCAAGTGGGTATTCCTTTGCTTGCTCGTAAACTTTTGGTACTATAATGTCAAGTCAATAATAGTAGCGACAACGGAGAAAATATTTAAAGTGTGATCTTGTTTTATTTTTTCATTAAAATTTTTATGTGTGAGCACACAAAAGTGTTGATCCATTGAGTTTCATCTCAAATTGAATGGCTGTAAAGATTGAATTGTTTAATCAATAGATATCTTTAAATACTATCACTAATACACAATTACTTATCAAATGTCAATAAAATGTTATAAAGCAATTAATTATTGTCTGTTTAACTTTTACATCGAGAACGTAGACGAGGAAGAAGTAATTACCGTGAAGGTGGTCTATAATTAAACTTTCAATGTCAAGTACGCGAGATTAAGTAACAATTTTTTTTGTTCTTAGCGTTCTTGCTGTTTCTTTTTTCTTTAATTTTCTTCACAACAGTCTGTCGTTTATAAAGTAGGTCTAGAAGGTAATGTGACAAGACACGCTTCACGTGCTTTCATGCATGTCGTTAGATTTTATTGATTCACGTAAATGACATACAGATTACGTTCTGCCCTTTGAATAATAACTTACTGAGGTGCTGTCGGTTGGTTGATAATTCATTCAATTTTCAATCTATAAATATTGTCCTGGATTGTGACTCATGAAAAGAAAGACATACATGGACAAAAAAAGAGAAATATTTCTTATCAACGAAATAGAAGTATAGAATTTCCTCTATTCTGTATAGAATTTTTCCTTTGCTTATTGCGGGGCAGCAAAAGAACAAAGACTAATAAACATACTCAAAATTTTCAAAAACAATAATTACACAACAGTTCCGAGGCCTCTGCAACATTATGCAGGCCGCCCTGAAATGCGATAAAATTATTGATGACATTGAATTAGAGTTTATTAGTCTCGGGCCGCTTAACGCATGGGCAGGTGAGTCAGACTCCCTCCCCCCTCCTCCAAACGGGTTCCCACCTTGTCATGGCGGGGGTCTTTAGTAGCCGTGGCTTGGTCACCCGCCGTGAACTAAGAGGAAGCCTCATGGTTGACCCGAGGTGATGGTACTGCGAGGCACCGCTCTCCCTACACTCTCCTAAAAGATTAGATGTGGTGGAATGTAATTGTTTTACATATTCATGTTTTGAATTTCCGCTGAAGCTTAAGATTGTGTAATATACAAAAAGAATTTCAAAAATGATATTCTTGTTCTTTTTTATTAGCCTATAAAAGTGCACTGCTAGACATGGTCCTTTCCCATAGTAGGAAAGATTTGTCTTAATCGTCGCACTAGGCAGACGATTTGACGATCACAGTACCAGCAGTCTCGCACCTTTGACGCTACTTCTTATTGCCAGTCAGGCTTTTTTTGACTGACGTAAACAAAATGGTTATGCCGCCATCGTACGATGGATTTTCATACGCCGCCGCGCCGTCACCATACAGCAAGGAATGCGAGTTTTTATTGAAAACAAAGTAACATTACATTTCAATAAAATGGATGACTTTAATTTTAAAACCAAAAGTTTCTTCAGAGGTTTTTTGAGCTAAAATCCTAAAGTGGCAGAGAATAGTAAAAGGAATAGAAAGAAACGTAATTAAGAAAGAACAGAAAACTTAAGTTAATTCAAGTCTGAATTGCTTTTCAATAGCTTTTCGCAATTACGTGACGACTTTTACAAAGACTAGTAAATTTTATTAATATTTTATCGTTTTAAATAACCTATTAATGTGATTTGTAAAACTGTGGCTTTTGACTACCTATGTGAGATCCTACATTGATAAGCCTTCTTCTTATTTGTACCATAAGAAATTTTATGAACCTCTTACTAAGAGGAGAGCTCAAAGAAGATTTCCGTATCTATTCTGATCACTATGTAATTTCAAATGTAGGCAATGCAACACAGTGTTTCCCCACGAATTTCGAGCCACCTTATGGAATTTACTATCGTCAGCAGTTTTTCGGACCAATATGATGACTTAGGACCTTAAAAAAATCCTATTAATTCTTGAAAGTTCAGCTCGCACGGTGGTGGTCGGGTGGTAGTGGTGGTTACTTACCATCAGGTGAGCCATGCGCCCGCTTTTAGCTACTGCTAAATCTGATATTGCATCCAAGTTAAACTTTAGCATTATCATGTTTGCAATATTTAAGATGTCTAAAAATGAAAATCGCTTTGAAACGCTATCAAATGCAAAACATTTTAGAAATTTGGATCAAGAACATGAGCTCAGATTATAAAACTTACCTTTGAATATTTTTTTCACGAAACATAATATAATACCTTGTATTTATGAAATGATATGTCTTTAAAAAGATTGTTATTAAATGTATTTCTGCGTTCAACTGACAATAGAACTGCGTGACCTCGAAAGCCCTTCTGTCGGAACTGTTCGATTATCTCCGGCAAACATATTCCATTAACTTTACGATGACGCGATGACGCAGTTTGGGTACATGAGTAAATACATAAGTCTCGCGCATGATAGCTCCGAGCAACCTTTATTTGTAATTTAGTACGGTACTATTTATTTTTACATTATTTTTAAAATTGTAATGCCAAAAAATTATTGTTTGTAATTGTTTTTTTTTGTTTCTTTTTGAACTCATACCCTTATATTTTTATCAACTTACTTTGCAAATAGGATGAAAGTATGAACTTGCCTGACAGTCACGTATAGGAATAAGTACAGGCTCTGTGGATACAACTCCGCTCATTTGGTCATCATTGTAAATCAGCATTGTGAT